TCGACCGCAACATCCAACGGGGAGGTTGCCCATCTCCAAGCTGTGAGTGCACATCACTCTGGGGACTTCCTCCTAACAGTTCCCATTTCGATCCATAGACCCTCCGTACTGAAGTGGCTGTCCGCTTCGCTGCCCCAATTCACACATTTAGACTATTTGCGGAGATAGGCAAGCCGACCATTATGCTTCAAACCTCAGGGTTGGCTTGCGAGACAATTAAAATCAACAGCATCATAAAGAGGAGCCTTGCTTCAGCTGAGTGCCTGGCTGAGAGGGAGCCCTGATCCATAGCATCAACCCCACAAACCATCCCAACGGGATCACCATCTATCACTGGAAGAATGCCAAGCTTTTAGCATGCACTATACCTGCGTGTAGACGCTGGCTGACACCTACACCCGTCACAGCACTAGACAACAGGGAGGTACTGCGAATCGCCGGAAGGAGTACCAGATCAAGTACAGAGACATAAGCCATCAACAACAATTTCTCCGTGTGGGATCAGAGACCCTGGGATCATGGGAAAAGAATGCCACATGTTTCATCTAAGAATTGGATTCCAGAGTTACTGACACCACTATGGGCTCATGGGCGGCCACTTATGTTCCAGTGTCTTAGCCTGAGATGTGGCCATCCAGAAAGGAAATACTTGCTGCATACTTTGCTCATATTCAGCGTCAGAGGAGCTGGAGGTGTTTCATAATCTTTTAAGTATTGTACTATTGCATTCATGTGTATGCCTTTTAAATAATCCCCACGTGTAACTTTTTACGAGTCCCTTACTAAAAGGACACAAGTGCAACTAATGTGACATTTTATTGTGGCAACGCTTCGGTCTCCAGGAGCTTTGTCAAGCCGTTACAAACAGTACATGGACACAGAGGGTATATATAGGCTCAGAGTGAGGTGCAATACTAGTGGTAGTAGAAGTAGTGATATAAGTTGTTGTAGTAGTAGTAGTAGTAATGCAATATGGTATAACAATTAACTTGCATATGAGTAAAAGGATACAAGCTATTACTTGGGTGACATAAAAATAGGTTAGACAAATATTTCTATTGGAGGCTGGATAGAGAAGGCCTGTTTCAATGTTCATTCTCTGTAATGTGCTTGTGTAGTATTAGCAGGAGAGACTATGTGATGGCAGGGTTTACTGTTTTCAGGAGGATTCTTGCTAAGACTTCAGAGATGGTGAAGCTGCCTTTTTGTTTAATTGTATTAGAAACAGGGATTAGTGCTGATTCAAGACACTTGCGTCTGGGGAAATTAGTTTCTTTAATCACTAATTGGGCATCCCTGAATTTCATGAGATTATTGGTGGAATTTCGGTGTTGTACACAGGCGTTGTTCAAGTTATCTTTCCTACATTCATAAATGTGTTCATTGAAGCGGGTGTCGAGGTTTCTTGCCGTTTCACCTACATAAATATTGTCGCAGCCTCCACAGGGTATAGCGTAAACCCCTGCGTTGACTGGTTCGTGGCGCTTTGATTTTTGTCCTGGTTAGAATCTTTATTGAAGTGCTGGAAGCGATGGCGACTCTGGTGTTAGCTTGTGAAAGTACTCTAGAAACGTTCAGTGCAACCTGGCTGTTGGGAAGAAGTTGATGCGTCTCATCCATCAACTAGTCGGCATTGTGTACATCAACAATATAATGCTTGTTTGACACAGCAGTTACCCTGATATTTAGGAACAGTGGAAGTTTTCTGCAACTCCTTTCCTGAACAACTGTTTAACATGACCTACCTTCCTTCGTGGGCCACGCTCACTTGTGGCCTAAACTCCAGCTGCTTCATATCACCTCTACTCAAGTATATATGGTCTGGTCACCTCCCACCGACAGTGACGGAGTGATAACTTCAATACTAGTACCACTTCCAGTGCTGTATTCATCTGTACTCAACTAAAGTTTGTTGTGCGGGCGAAACGCGAAACAATAAAGAGGCCCAAGATTTACAAATGTGTCAGATCCATTAATTTTCAACAGCTACTGATTCCTTCATTCTAAAACTGCTACTTATTTACTATTTTCAATTGTTTTTGATTTCCGTATTTTGCATCTATTTTTTTAATTATATGTCAACTTGGTGTTCCCCAATTTTACAAGTGCATCCGTTTCTCATATTTTACAAGTGTTTCCGTTTCTCATATTTTACAATTGTTCCATTTACTTTAATTGCTTAGTTTCAAAACGGCTTCCGTTTCCTTTATTTTGCAACTTACTTTAATTCCAATATTTTAAACCTGCCAAAAGCCTGTTTTACAAAAGTTTAATTTTATTTTTTTAATTATTCTATAACTGTCTTTGACTTTATAAAACATCACAAAGCTTTTTATCTTGTTTAAGGGATATGACGACGAATCTCTAGCATCTAGCTGCAGTTAACGGGAAATTCCATAAATCTGAATATATTTCAATCCCGCACATTTAGTTTTTTTCACCTGAAGATAAAGCCTTAAGAGTCATCACTGCTGCAACTAACATGATCTCACTACATGTCACAGTGTTTCGATGTAACACTTTACCCCATGCATTATAGGAGTGTAAAAGGCTCGTGGATCAAAGCTTTTTCTCAGTATTTGCTTGTGTACTGTATCTTCCTAAAAATAGAAAATCAACCCTGGAGGGAACACCTCCATTACAACACTGTCAGTTGCAACTGTATAAGGAAGACAACACAACACCGGCAGGCGCAACTGTATACAGAAGCCACCACACAACAACACAGGCATGTCCAACTGTGGAAATAAATGGTATAAAATATCGACACAATGGAAATATAAACACACATGCAGTATAATGTGATCCTTTATTGACAACGTTTCGCCCACACAGTGGGCTTTTTCAAGTCACAAACAGATCTGTTTGTGACTTGAAAAAGCCCACTGTGTGGGCGAAACGTTGTCAATAAAGGATCACATTTTACTGCATATGTGTTTATATTTTCATGTCCAACTGTATATGAAAGCCACCACGCAACAACACTGGCTGGTGCAACTGTATATGGAAGCCTTCACACAACACTGACAGATGTAATTGTATAAGGCAGTCACCATACTGCAACACTGGCAGATGTAATTGCATAACGCTATCATACTGCAGGTGCAGCAACACTGGGAAGGTATTACACTACAATACTGGCAGGGGTTTCTGTATCACGCGGCCATCATACTTTACTACAACTCTGTTAGGTGTATCTCTTTAAGGAAGTGTGCACACTCCAACTTTAATATCTGACAAGTCCTGCAGCCATCCACTACCAATATATATATTTTCTGGGAAACAAATTCTTTAAAGTACACAACTCACTGACTATTTTGAACTTTCTGATCTTTCAGCCAGCTCTTTGTGCAATGATTTTCTTTTTACAAAATCACATCAGACTGGTTTGTTAATGGCATTTAAAGCCTATTGAATACACTAACGTCATTAAAGCGGAGTTATGACGACTGTCGACGGAGAACTAAACTTCTCAATGCTTTTTTGAAAAACGACCAGATGTGATATAATAATGCTATTAAAGAAACCGTACTCAGAAAAAAAAGTATATGGTAGATAAAGGTGATTTGTTCCAAAAATGTTCTGACCATAAATGTAAACTAAAATGAGCCAGAAAGATGGGAGAAAAAAGTTCAGCAGGAGGACTGCAAGTATTGAATGTACTAAGAAAGCAAGTAGTGGATGCAAATATAATGTACGGTTAGAATGTAAACTCATTCTAATTATATAAAAAAGGAATAGAAAACGTTAAAAAACTTGGTTTTAAAAAGAACTAAAGACACTGAGAAACCAGTATTTAACAGGTTATTCTGTATCGAAGAAAAGCAGCGACTACTAGAACTTTCTCAATATTGTCTAGTGAAGATAGCATAATAATGATGCGAGGTGTATAAGACATTCTTAGGAAGTAAAGCATGTTACATAAGCATCAGACTAAAATTCATCAAATTAGAGGAAAATCGTGAATGGCTCTTTGCCTTGTATATGTAGCCGAGGTGATATGGATATTGCCCTAATGAAACTCTGATGCTACGCCGCTTGTCAGCCGTCAACTATCACTTGCAGAGATTTTCAACACACGACCCACCAATAATACACGTTTATTCGATATTTTGAAACTCTCTGCTCATGATAACATTTACTGGCTAGTACTGAAATCTTCATGTGCTGCGAATGTTAACACGAAGAAATAAATACTATTTTCATGCTCTAAAAATTAATGCAAACGCAAATGCGGTTTAGGCACGAATATCATCAACGACTGCATGATATACAGAGGTCGGGTAATATTCTTAGCTTGGAGTTTCCAAACCCTTGGAATGATCAAGGGTCATATAGGGATAAAACTGTCTCGTATTTAGATAATCACAAACTCAAAGCATCTTGTTGATTTTTTCAGAGTAAATACTTGATGGTTTAGAAAGACACGTAAGTAAACACTATAACATATTTATTAGAAAACGTTTCGGTCCTGGGACCTTGATCACTTCTGAAGTGATCAAGGTCCCAGGACCGAAACGTTTTCTAATAAATATGTTATAGTGTTTGCTTACGTGTCTTTCTAAACCTAAATACTTGATACACATGATACACGCAGCAGATATCGATCATAGGTATTTCCAGTTCGTAATTAATATAGAATGTCATTTTTGATATGACCGAATAGGTATCAAATTACACAAAGTAATTTTTTATTATTCACTAAGAGTATCAAACTGTCTAGTTTCACTGAGAAAATGGTCGATCTGTTACATAAAGAGCACAAAACAGGCCGCCACTCAACATATCTGACAGAAGTTTTTACGTTTTTCAATATTTCCTAAGGGTTCAGGAAGCAATTATAGATGACCCTGAGAGAACGAAAGCCTTGACACACATCACCACAAGTTCTTGAACAATTAGGTACCAGGAACACTGTCGTCCCCCTCTATCAGCACAACCAATGTGCATGTGGATGTTCGCGCCACACCCTAGTTAAAAATAATTGAGAAATGGGTACTCACCACCCATGTAGCTCGGTCTAGCAGCCATCAGTCACATGGTGGATCCTTTACAGTCACAAGGACTCTCTAGTACCAAATTCTGAAAAAGAAAAATTATTTCTTTTACTAACACATCGGCCGATTCCCACCAAGGCAGGGTGGCCCGAAAAAGAAAAACTTTCATCATCATTCACTACATCACTCTCTTGCCAGAGGGGTGCTTTACACTACAGTTTATAAAACTGCAACCTAACACCCCTCCTTCAGAGTGCAGACACTGTACTTTCCATCTCCAGGACTCAGGTCCGGCCTGCCGGTTTCCCTAAATCCCTTCATAAATGTTACTTTGCTCACACTCCAACAGCACGTCAATAAATTATATTATGATAAAAACAAATCATAAAAATTTGAGGGAACACCTGCCTTTACCGGGGATGGTAGTACTTACCCCCAGTCCGGGAGCTGAAAGTGGGTGTCCCAATTCCCAATGGGTTAACAGCGAACGTTCATAATCGGGACTGACTATAGGTACTCATTTATTTCAGCAGATGGGTGACCCCCTCTACAGGGGCTGATGGTGGGTGACCCCCCTCTACAGGTGCCGATGGTGGGTGACTCCCTCTACAGGGGCCGATGGTGGGTGACGACCCCCCTCCTTTCTACAGGGAATGCAAGTATGGGTACCATTACAGGTGCTAGCAATGGATGTCCATTTATTGGCGATTATAAAGGGTGACCCACTGCAGTGGCCGAGGTGGGTGCCTTCTCCACAGGGGATGATAATGGGTGCTCTCTCTGCATGGGTTGATGATGGGTCCCATCTACGTAGTGGCTGACGGTGAATCCCCCATTGAAAGAACCACCCACGCTTGCTCATCTGGGACTTACACTACAAACACTTATCCGGCAACACCCGATCTTCTCCTCCCGGGAAGGAAGAGAGAGACAGACCGATTCTAGGATGCAGATACTGCGGACCTCCCAGCACAACGAGTTAGAGGCACACACCATGTGCATCATGAAAGGAATAGTTTATGAAAGGAAGAAGAGTTCTTTACAGGTGGTTCATATTAATAGTTATCAGGAAATAAGGGAAATGAAGGCTATACATAATTGAGCCACGCCTCATTGTTGCGGGTAAGAGATCAAGAATTGCCGGTCTTGAACCAATTGCCACCCACCTTCATGTAGCTCCCCTCCGACCACTGCCACTGCTCAACCTCCGCCTCTCTGCCATGCCTTTCAGGAAATCAAAAATGGCCGCCCACCCTACCACCTACACCCATCAACACACCCTGTTCGACAGACCGCCCACCCACTCGCCCAGTCAGGACTACCTCAGTCTACTGGAATTATTCAACAAAAAGTTATGGAACGGGTGAGGCTTCAACCTATGGCAGCTGAGTTCTAAAACTCAGACCACTGCGTTCCGTGAATTGTTTGCGGTCGTGTTATTACGATTTCGTGAGTCACGATGTTTTACAAGATATTGATACGATGGTATACAGGAGCAGTTGTGGAGCGTGTGGAGCGCTCCTGGGAAAAATTACAAGATGTGTTGTTATATGTGACTTATATTGCCTCAACACCATTTCTCTAGTGCAAGAAGAAACAGTTTTCAAACATGACATTTTTCAAGGGAGGTGCTACTTTATTTGCAACAATGACATGAAGCAGTCTAGTCTACCTGGGATATATGACTAATGGAAGTGAAAAGCATATATTGGAAAAGGGACCAAAAAACTCAAGGGTTGACTCCGACAGGAGGGGAATGAAAGATGCTGCTGATAACAGTACACAGAATATTCAAGTTTCGTCATTGAACTCTAAGACGGGTACATGTAACCCGACAGTTCGAATTCGAGCAATGTTTCTACTACAAACTATTACAGCGTAAGGAGCACACGACTTTAATGAAATAACTGAAAATGAATCAAAATTAAACCAGTACACGACAAAAGTCACCAGAAAATCCAAGTGTGTCACCGCTACCCTTGAGGGATTTGCATATACTGACCAACTAGAAATAGGAATGGAATGTGGTAATATGACAACCCAGAGAAATTATGTACACTCCTTATTAAAGAAGTATGTTATTCCAGGACCTGCACATACTTTTACGCTACAACTGAGCTGCTACTTAATACACGAGAGAATGTTATTATGTAAACTACTCAGCCTTTCACTTGAAGGAAACCTGTCATAAATCAACATGAACATATTACCAAACAAAAATTACTCCCGGAGATTTTGTAGTGCCAGGAAACAGAAAATAATGGCGAGAAATGTTTCCAGTCCAGTAACCATCCTGTACTAGAAACGAAGACAGTGGTGTGTCACCAGAGCCATATATATTATAATTAACACAAAAATTCCCCAGCTTAGTAACAAGCAACATAACAGCTTTTGTCTTTGCAAACATTCAAGGTCTAAAACCGAGTAACCTTCATCAGTGGTTTCTTAAGACAAATGTAATGATTGCAGTTATTTATGGAGACTCGCATCAAAGTCTACTTTGACAATGAAATATTGACACCTGGGTAGAATCTAATCAGATCCAAGTGGAAAAATTACTTAGTGCCACAAATGATGTAGTCGAAGTTTTGGTAGCTAAATTTGAAAATCAAAATCAAGGTAAAGCATTTTTATACAAACTGATTGAATTTCCCAGCAATCAAACACCTACTAAGAAAAATTGAATACTTTTGAAAACATTTCATATCCGTCCCCAACTATCGTACTGCTTGGTGACTAATTTAAGATTCCTAAAATAGAAGAATGTGGCAAGGATTGTAAATGCAGAGAGAATCACAGCAACCCATCTGGATGAGCAGTCTCACTAAACTGAAATACTAAGACTGCAACAAATATGCTTTACGCTAGAAAATAGCGGAACTAACTAGACTAGAGAATACTCTAGACGGATACGAAGCACCTCAAAAGCAGCAGACTCCCTGAAGCAGTGCTGTAGCGATCGCAAATTTATATAGTAGCAGCAGCAGAATAAATGTTTCACTATTTTTCCTGGACATATCCCATAATGTACAATACAAATAAGCAAATATAAATATATTTTTTTTAACAATTCTCTAAAGATAATTCATTAATGCAATCCCTGAAAAAAATATTGTATAATAAAAAGATGTGGTTGAGAGTAACAGTTAGCCATTCACTGACAATGGATTTTCAACAGCGAAGGTATTACTGTTTACAATTCTTATTAGAACTGTTACTTAAGAAGACGGGGGTTGCATTTTCCACGCACGAGGCATCAGGACTGAAGGCTTCCAGCGAAACCAAGAGAAAATTGACAAAATAACAAAGCAACGGATAACCTCTTCAGTATCCCTCGAAACAAAAATGTTATAAATAGGACAAAAGTCTTGCAATGTAGGTCAAATTAATTAAGCGAAGGATTGCTAGGTGTTTCATATGGTATGATGACTCTCAAACTCCGCGGTAAAGTATCCTAATTTTTGGCCTAGGAGATAATGAGAAAGACGAGTGGTTAAAGCAAGTCTTCTTGTATCCGCTGTGCATGTTCACCTTACAGTAAATAAGAGACAAGGTGCATCTTGGGAAATGTCAAACAATAAAACAGATACAACAAGCATAATTTGTCTTCTATATCTGAAAGTAGGAAATCAGTAATATCTTTCATACAAAGAATATATCTTTCATTCATACACCGAAAAATATATTAAATATAAGATATTTTTAATCACTGTTTTTCTCTCATATCTAAATTTATATTTTATGATTAATTTCATAAGAATTACGAAAGTTACACCATATCTGTTCTCAAATTTCGCAGAATGAAACATTTCTCGTTACTTATTAGATCATCGACGAACGTGAGAAGAGGAGTGTGTCTCCCCGAGAGATGAGAGAATAGATTAAGAGAAAAAGCTTTTGGTAGGTGGAGAGGCTGACGTTAATGGAGTTTCTATGTTGGCGAGGATCGACCCTTGCTGACACAGGGAAAGCAGAGGAGGAAAGATGTTGTGCTGAAATTTAACACCGGCTAGGGCGTTAATCTCAATGGCAGGCCAAGACTGCCCTAAATTCCCATTAAGTAATCCTCCCTCATGGTCTTCTCAGAGTAGGAGCACCTCCCAACCTCGTCTGATCTCCACTCCCAGCATAGCTGTTAATGGGGATTGTAATATTACGGCATCGTATACAGGTATATTAATTAATGATCCAGTAGTCTAACCATCTAGCACTAGTTATAATAATTGCAGTGTAACACCAGGCAATATAACAATAATATTTACAAGACCTACCAGTAATGTCACAATGATACAGTATGAATACCTATCGCAAACACAGTGATGAACACTGTTGGGATACTGACTACTAACAAATATTAATAATAAGACAACTCATCTTTTTTCTAATGCCTTCCCATGACAATATAAGGACATTCGTAATAAAGAGACCGATTTACACATGGTTTCAGTATTCCGAACCTTTTTCAAGAACCTCATTGAAGTCTCTAGTGGGTGTAAATCTGTACAAATGCACATGTAAGATAACTGGCATGTAAACAAACACGCACAAATACCAGATACGAAGAGATACTCTTGTACCTTTCGCGATATTTAATAAAAGTTTACATAAACGAAATTTATTGTTATACCACATGGACGTAAATTTCTACCAACGCTCCATTACGTTTAGTACTAGAGAGAATGTGTGTGTATTAGGCATAGTGATTTTGTTGTTGTGGTTCCTCAGCAATTTTATATATGGACTCTAATTTTTTCCTTATTCCCTCAGTATTGTCATTTCATGAATTACATTCATAAAATATAAACCAATTTGATTTTAATTTTATCTTCTGTCATGATTGCAGTTTCTAACCAACATTTGCTTTTCCAGTAATTGAGGCATTAATTTTGTTCTTTTTTTTTTGGTAAATTTACTTGACGCACCTACGCCACAGTTTGGCTGGAAATACCTTAGTTCCGTCCTTTAATTTATCTCTTTTTTTTTAAAGACTAACTTCACCTCGCCCAGCAGATTAAGAGAACAGTTTCTGTATAATTTGATAAACAATTCTTTGTATATATATATATATATATATATATATATATA